CGTCAAAGTTTATACAGTAGCATAACGTTTTCGATCTAATCAGATCATCCTCAGTGCCTTATGTAGTTGAAGCTAACAATAAAGTTGTAACTGTGACATCCATATATGGGTTTACATCATTCCAAATTTAAATTATGTTGTGACTCTAGGTTGATGACATTGGATAAAATTTAATACTTCAGGAGCTACATGTCTCCCTGCTAGGTTTTTAACAAGTGGTTCTTGTCAGTTGAAACGACACAGACCAAACTGATTTGGTCTGTGTGGTAGAAATTATTTACGCCGAACTGGGCGAACCATCTCTTTATCGCAGACGAATACAACCAACTCGTCCATTCATCCTCAGTCTACTGTACCTCGGATTAACTTTTGTACAATAATACCTTCACTAATAAATATTGCAATATGTTTAATGCCAAACCAAATTTGAGAAAACCATATTACACAAAGAGTCAGAACACATTTGCTTGAGCTTAATTTTTTACTTTCCGAGTTTTTTCGACTCCAACCTCCTTGGTCCATCAATATTCCGTTATGTAATATTAACCTAAGCTGCTGCAATAAAGCGGAAACCGAACCTTCCTCGCTTATTAAGGCACATTTGTAAAATATATTAGAAACCTACCAAAATTTCTGTCATATATTTACAGACGCTTCGAAAATTAATGAAGGAGTTGGTGCGGCTTTCATTACTAATTCAAATAAGCACTTATTTCGACTTTCCCCACATCGCAGCTTCACTTATCTCAACAAATAGGTAGAATTTAAGGTATAAATAAGGTTAACCTTATTTGAAATCCTTTCCACGTGGGCATTAGCGGAAATGAAGGTGCAGACTCAAGTACGCGTAGTGCAGTGACTAGTGCAGATTTATTCAGAAACTATATTAAAATGTGCCCCTAATGACAAAATAGTGTTGTTAAAGCAATATATGTGTTAAATGACTAGATCGATGAATGGCAAAATTCAAATTCAGGAAATTAAAGATACAGTAAAAAAGTAAGTTTATAAAAGTTGTTAGAAGCAAACAGTATTCAACCGCCTACGACTAGGCCATACCAGGCTTATTCACTCACATTTGTTCTCAAGAACTGAACCATCAATTGTTAGTCCTGTAACAAACAACTAACTGTCGACATATTCTAATTTAATGAAAAAGATTTACACAAGAACGTATTGATTTTAATATTGTGTCAAATATATCAGTTCTGCTTGACAATAATAAAGGACCAAAAAATTTAATTGACTTTATAAAAACAATTGGTGTTTTCAATAAGATCTAACATGTTTTTGTAGTTAATATATGTAACCTTATAGTTATATTGTACCACAAAATTGTAACTTATGTATTGTTCCGTAGTTACATTAGGTGGATGCGATTTTTTTCTCAAATAAAAAAAAATAAATAAAATAACTGACGTGAAAATAGCATATCTTAAGGAAGAATATGGTAATATTTTTGAAACTGATACTCTTAAAGCACTAATACTTTGAAATTAAACAATGCATGATATTCATAAATAATAAAAGCAATATACAAATGTTTCTGACTACGAATTTTAAAATAACTAGTGCTAAAACAGCATGTCTAAATAAAAAGAAGAATATATTGAGATTTTCATCATCTTTTGTAAGTATAAATTAAGCTTTTGAAACTACCTCTTCTTTCTAGTAATTAAACAAACCATAGTGTTCATAGATAGTAAAAATAATATTTGAAATATATGTGAATATGAACTCTAAGACGATGGTCTCTAATAAACACCGTACACCGGGTATTGTGTTACGCCATATTTCGCGGCTGTATGCTTTATATAATAAATAATGGATGCGGTCTCTTTTACGTTGGACGCAGCGTGTAACGGCTGTACATATAATCATACAGACGCGACTAATGGCGTAACGTTATACGCAGCGTACGACGTTTATTGGAGACCACCGTCTAAAATACCTGCCGTATTTCATGAGAATAAATTGGATACGAGAAAACTACATTGTTCACAAGGACTCATAATTGAGTGATTCTTCTGAATCCATGCACAAAAATGTATAGGACACGAGCACAGATGCCACCACGGTCGCGGACTCTGTCTTTGCTCCAAATAAGTGTCAATAACTACCAATCAAGATCGTACAGGCAAACCTTCCGACACAACAAGGTATGTTTCGCCTGGGATATACGAAAGACAAATAAAAGGTCCATGTTTGAAAGAGAGCTAATATATAGCAGGTCTGTCGAAGTTTCGCAGACTTGTATAATGGTTAATGGAAGATGTACAAATGGCTGCAGTGAGACCGGTGTAGAACTGGCAGTTTATAGGGAAAAACCTCTGGTCTGATTAAATAAATGAATAAAATAATGATATAAATAAATTAACAATCATAAAAAATGTTCAAAAAACTACTATAAACTTCAAAATTAGTGTGTAGCCTATTAGTCTAAGAGCCCGGGGGAGGGAGGTCAGATTTCGATAGGAAATTTAATTTAGAACAACTTTTTCATAGTCGGGGTCCATTGAATATATCGCTTGCTGAGAACATTAGTGACGTAACCTCAAAAATGTAGTTTGTAGTAAAGTGCGTTTAAAGTTTTGGGGGAAATGCAATCTTTGATTGCTCGGTAGCTGACTGACTTATTGACGTATTTTCGATTTTATTCATCTAGGTAAGCTGACAGTTCACATAATACAGTCGTTTAACTGATGACAGGGGTATTTTGACAATTTTTTTTTTCAAGTTACGCCATTAATGCATTCAAGTACGTGGAACTTTTAAGATTTTGTGCGGTATTAGTGACGTATTATTTTATTAATTTGGATAAATTTATTAAAAACATGCTAATACAGTAACGCCTGTCAATAACGGTCACTAAAAATGACAGAACTATTGGCCGATATAAAAAAGGTGGCCGTTAATACCAGGTTTTGTAGTCCACAAATTTTGGTTTGGGGCACTTTGTAACTTGCCGGCTAGTACAGGTGGCCAGTTTTGACAGGTGGTCGTTATAGATACCATTATAAATAAAAACTTAAGTATAAACATTCAAAACTTAAAATCAAAAATATTCCATGGAGTCGAAATACATCAGATAAAGAGAGAATTTTTTCAACGGAATATTATCCTGCGACCTTATAATTCAATGCATTGAAGAAAGGAGCATGTATAGGTGGTATAGATTTATTTTGGACGTGAGATTGTATGTCATCATACTTTTTCTTATTAATTTTGACTGTGGATAGATCATAATTTTGTAGTAGTTGAGTTATTCCGCTCCTTGTTTTATTATTTCTGATTATAACTTGTTTAAATTCTGTGCTGGTAACTATATCATTAAAGTTAAACTTTTCACCATTAATATTTACATTAAATGGCTGATTAGTACAATCGGATGTCATTTTTTTTAAGTCAACAAACTCATGAGCCATTTCATTGATTTTAAACATACTTCCTCGTTTACTAGCAGTACTTATTATTGCTGAGTATTGAGCTGGTAGGAAAATGGGGCCCGATTTCAAAGCTCGTTTGATGTTTTTTTCGATTATGGAGTGACTACTGTCACCTTCGTTTTGACCATGTCCCACTTCAAAAAATTTATGGATAATACTTTTTATTTTGAAATTAGTAACTGCATACAAAAAGGTGGTTACAACAAATTTATTTTTGCCTTGTCCTCCACAGTTATCTGAAAAGAAGACTACTTCCAAATTTTCAGAGTCAGCTCCATTAGCCGTTTTTCTTAAATATTTAAGTAGGCAAGAACCTATTTCAATGGATCCACGATTCCCTTCTCCTTCATGCCAAATATAGCACTCTACAGGACCAAGTCCTTTTTGTTGAAGGCTACAAACTGTAAAATTGTAGCAATTTAAACGAGACTTATAATAAAAGGCTGAAACGTTACCTTTAGGAAGTGGTAGAGCTGCTTGTAAATCGAAACAAGCTACGTGTTATAAGTTGGTAATATTGCTTTTGTCTGCATTTTTTTCTTGTCTGCTTAAGTTCTTTTCTAGAAGGGCATTTTTACCATCCAGGTCAGAGTTCTCATAAGTTGTACATGTAAGGCACTGGTCTTTCTTTGGTGTATGAAATGACATGTTAAAATCATAATTGAAGATATGCCTGTACATAGACAACTTTCCATGATTTTTCCCACTATCATTACACCACTGAACATAATCACGGTACAGATCCATCACTGTCTTGCCTCCATCGATATACTTTTTCTGAGTATTCGCTCTTGTGTAATGACTCTCTACTGCAGGTATTGACGATAAGTGTTGATGCATACCTTTTTTTATTTCTTCGGGTACCTTATTTTTGCCTGTTTTACCCCTCTTTTCACTTTCCAAAAATTCGTCTTGCCGTTTTGAAGCTGTGGTTCTAATGAATCTTTCAGTGATTCCTAATGTAGATATAAAATATCTCTCCCCTCGCACTCATTTTTGAGACAAATTGGCACAAATTTAATGTTTATAAGCAATTGACACCAATGATTAACTAGTTTAAGTCAACAGTATATTAGTATTAACTGATTTGTTTATCATGCACTACTGACGTAATGCACGAACTCGTCTTCAATATGTTAAAAAATAATGCCTCAAGTTATTGCACTACTGACGTAAGTCAAGGTTCGTCACTAAGTATCTAAGCTTATGCTCAAACTCTTGTCACTGTCCAGCGTACACTGAGTTGCGCCACTAATGCATGCAGAAGTGGAACTAAAAGTCATAGAATATTACTGACGTATAGCGCCATCAAGTGATTTATAGTAGAATTATACTTCCGTCATTAAAGCATAATATCAAGTTCAATATTAGGAGTATGTCTAATAGGTTAAGTCAAAATTGGTATTTTTTGAGTTACGTCACTAATGTTCTCAGCAAGCGATATGAAATAATAAAACCCCTTTAACTTTGTAGTTCCTTTTAGTCCAATTTTTTTGAAGGTAATCAATAGCCTAGAGACTTAAAAACTAAAGTTAAAATTGGAAATAAACATACCCAAATATACCAGTGACATGCCAGGTAATTAGTACGTTCATGCACTCAAACTTCTTTACGTTGTTAATGCGGATAACCTGAAACAAATACATTTTTTAAAGTATACTAACACACTAAAAGCTTTCTATTTGAACCGGTAGTTAATAGTACAGAAAATATTACTATTTGTAACGTTTTGAAACCGTCTAATTTACATATTTTTTTGAATTAAACGCACGTCATTTGTTTTACTCTTTATACTTCTCTTGTACATCAAATATACCATATTTTCTTCTTTACTATGTTTGACAATAACAAAAGATATGTTCGTTCACCATTATTTTCTGATTGGTGGCAAGCGATTGCTATACGTTATATAACCAAACAAATTCTTGCTAAATTTAGAATATTTAAATTTTTCAGATGAGTAACCTCTCTTTATTTACGTCATGTTAGATAATCATACAGTCTTTTTCCCAAATTTAGGCAATACCGAAATCCAATATGAACTTACCCACTGCTATGGGCGTCAAAACTTAGAGATCTTCGGTGCGTGAACGGCAATGTAGGAGGTAGACGTTATTAGATACCAAGGCCTAATAGGTTGAAGCGACATTGACACATTGACAGAAGAAGACATTAGCAAATATATAAGGGTCAACATGAAACTACTTGCCAAGTCTCAATTAAAGAAGCAAATTTTAAATGGTCCACTAGATTAATGGAAGACAAACGATATTGACACAGCAAAAGAAAAATTTACAAATAACGTATGTCCTAAAGGTTTTGGCACACAATGCATTGACTTTAATATTAACAAAAACAAAATAATATCAAGTTGCCTTTGGAAACAAAAGTTTGTTTACTTTGTTTACTGTCAGTTGATATTTATTTATTTTGTTGTCGCTTAAGATATTGTATAAATTAGAGATAAGAACAGTATCTGTAAGTTAGTTGGGTGGGTACTTAAAGTTGAAATCCAATATTCCAGAATGAAAACATGTCACGCAGAACGATTTATAGAACAATAGTGGAGTGCGAGCAGGGAATACCATGTCCGAATCTCCCAAAAAGTGGAACGGCATTTACTGCACAGAGGTCAGAGAGATTGGTGAAAAAAACAAAAAACCAGGATGGAATGTCAACGGGGAGACTTGCTCGTCAATGCAGATCTTCTAAGAGTACGATATCGTTAAAATTATGGAGAAAGGGTTTTAAATATCGAAATCAACGAAAAGTATTTTACGAAACCGGTAGAAGAACGCCCTGACAATGTTAGGTTAGATAATAACATACAGCGATATTTGCAGATAAATCCTTGTCTGGTGCGTTATTTTTAACAGGGGTGTATCCCGACCTTTTGTGGGAAGAGTGAGAAGTGAAGCCTTGAATAGTCAAGACCTATATTGATAACTGCCTTTCCAAATTGCTTCAGTTTGTTGACTTCCATCGATATACCTACTTTTATTATTCACTCGTATTAACTTATATACCTATATATATATATATATATATATATATATATATATATATATATATATATATATATATATATATATATGTAGGTATATATGTATATACATATACATATATATATATATATATATATATATATATATATAATATATATATATATATATATATATATATATATATATATATATGTAGGTATATATGTATATACATATACATATATACCTACCTATATGCAGTATATATATACCTATATACTGTGTAGTGACAGTGTAGTGATCAGTGAACAGCGTAGTAGTGTCTGGGGGCTCAGGAGACTGAGACCTCGGAAGCCCTGAGGAAGGCATCAGAGAGGATGCCGAAAGCTCGGCAAAATGGAATCGACGCGGTTCAACCCGGAAGACTGGTGGGTTTGATATTAATTTTAGTAATATTATTAATCTTAGCTCTAGGTTATATATATATATATATATATATATATATATATATATATATATACGAAGAAGGTTGCGTTTCGATTTAATTTGAGTCTTTTACCACTCCCTGACACGTGTTTCAGGGTCTACCCGTCATCAGAAGGAGTTTGTAAGAAGACTCAAACCAAATAAAAACGCACCGATTACTCTGGCAATTACATGAAAATAACTATCAGAGTATTGACTAGAGACCTCTAGTGAGGAAAGATGAAGATACGTCGATAGCAATTAAAGTAAACTGTATACCCAGGCTTAAACATGCCATTCAGAGCGGTACTGAGAATAAACATATTCCACTATGCACCATCAATTTTTGTACTCACTGCGTCGAGTAGGGACGATAAATATACGAAGAAGGTTGTGTTTCGATTTAATATATATATATATATATATATATATATATATATATATATATATATATATATATATATATATATATATATATATGACATTGTACAGACTACGACCGTCAATTTAATTTAACAAACTAGTGAATTCAGAGGTTTAATCGGTCATTGAGGTTGGCAAAATAAAAAAAAAAGAAGTCAACTACTCCATAAGTTTATCGAAGACGTTTCGCTTTATATTTCTAAAGCTTCATTAGTTCTCTAAAATATAGATGACACAGAGTTACAGAGTTTATAAGAAATACAGATCTAATAGTTTATAACTTACAACTCAATATGTAGTATATTAAAGATGTTATTATATATGTACTGAAGTTTAATCATTATTTAGAACTAACTTAAAAAAAAACAAACAAAGAACACACAAACTTTGCAAACAATAATATGTCTATTCGTAGATACGAAGATTTACAAAATTTTTAAACGAACATTTGGCTTCATTTAGAGATGGTTCTCCAATGAAGACAAACAAAACACTGATTTATTGCAATCCATTGCAATCTATGCAAACGACAATAGTCTGTCGTAGCACAAGGTATATGATAAATGGTATTAACTTGTTCCAAAAGAGACAAGGGTGTTTTAGTTTTTGAAAACAAATTTCTAACAGTCTTAGCATTCTGTCATCATCATCATCGACGACACCACTTCCAACATATTTTCATCTACATCAGGCTCCACTGACAACACACTATACCGTAGAAGCCAAGCTTTAAACAGACAGGTAAGGGAACGATTACTTATTTTCCATATATCTAAGGTTCACACTGATATTAAATTTATCACTTCTCAAATCAATAACGTCACTTCTTTCTTGGATAATCACCTACCTGAAAATTTGTTGGACACTTTTGAGACATCTTTACATAAGAAATTTAATTTTATATATCATAAATCCATGGCACGCCTTCGTAAGAAACTAAATAATTTAGACATTCTCCAATTTAAGAAAATTCCATTAAATCCTAAATGGATTAAAAACTTATCCAATATTGAGGTTCCGCAGGACATTCTCAAGTTGTTATCTTTGGGCCCTAAATTTGGCCTTCAACCAACTTTCAGAGACTACTCTGTGAGTAGAATCTTAGCAGATGTAGAAAATATTTTGTCACATGCTGACAATTCCGACCTTCTGTCTCTTAGGTCTTCTTCCAACAACATTCTGTTGAATTTCACCAAACGCCCTAGACAACCCATATCGGAGTTAGATAAGATTTACTGGGAGACGGTATCGTTTTTAAAAACCCACCCTAATCTTCTCGTTTTCACGAGTGACAAAGGTAATGCTACTGTCCTCATGGATAGAGATCAATATCTCAGTTTGAGTAAATCGTTGTTAGATGATGATAGATACTATCAACCTCTTTCTACCAACCCTTGTTCTAAATTCACTAATAAAATAAATAACTCACTTAAAACTCACTTAAAAAACATAAAGATCATAGATCAACCACTTGCGAAATATTTACATAATTATGATGGATATGCTCCCAGATTTTATTGTCTACCAAAAATACATAAGCCTACACAGAGCATGAGACCAATTGTATCATCCATTAATTCACCAAATATTAATATTTCTAAATTTCTAACGGACATCTTATCCAAATCATATAAATATAATAACAACTTTAATATTGTTGATTCTTTTCACTTTAGTGAATTTATTAATAACTTTGAACTTCCACAAGGATACATTTTAGTGAGTTTTGATATGATGTCTCGTTTCACTTACCTCTTTCTAGCGTTATTACCTCCTTAAGAAATCGTTGGAACTCCATTCAACTCCATCAGAACTATTGCAACTAGTATTTGACACTAATTTCTTGGTCTTTGATGACAAATATTATCTTCAAATATTTGGCACACCTATGGGTTCCTCAATCTCTCCCATCCTAGTTAACTTTGTACTGGATGATTTAGTATCTGGCCGTTTGGGTCTCTTAGATTTTCAAATTCCTTTTATTAAGCGGTATGTGGATGATCTATTATTAGCCTTTCAGACAAGATTCAGGCCACCTTGTCTATGTTTAATGAGTTTAATCCTCATTTACAGTTCACCGTTGAACTTGAGGACCCCGTCACCAATAGTACTCCCTTTTTAGACATGCGTGTCATTAGAATGGGAGACGAGTTGGTATAGGAAACCGATGGCCCCTAATAGGTTTCTCAACTACCATTCTTGTCATACTTTCAAATATAAATTAAACCTAATTAAAGCTTTAAGCTGCCGACTAAATATATTGACACATCCGATTAATCGAAGGGAATCCCTTCAATTACTAAGAAATATTCTGATTGGGAATTCCTTCCTCTCTCATTAATAAATACCTTTATTTACAAAGCTATGGTTCCTCTTTGGATGACATACCCAATGGTGACCAACTTAGAATAATATCAAATAATGTAATTAATAGCATTGTTCTGCCTGATACTGATCTTAGGACTCCTACTACCCATTATTCATATTTACCTTATTTTCCTCAAGTTACTGAGAAACTTATAAAACTGTGTAAACAGAATAACATACCTGTAAAAATTTCTGTCAAGAATGCTAAGACTGTTAGAAATTTGTTTTCAAAAACTAAAACACCCTTGTCCCTTTTGGAACAAGTTAATACCATTTATCATATACCTTGTGCTGAGTGTAACTCATGTTACATAGGTCAGACTGGGAGATCACTAAGAGGGCGTCTTACTACACATCGTAGTGACATTAACTTATCTAAACATACTTGTGCT